GGGCGGCGCTTGCGGCCCGCCACCAGAGGAGTGGTGGTGCCCCCGCGCCTACTCGCCGCCACCGCCGGCGCCGTCGAAGAGCCTCGGTGGTCCTCGCCGTACGCCGTTCGCCCCCCCCCCCCCCCCCCAATAAAACCACTTCGGCGAAGGCAGAGGGGCGCCCCACAGCCACGTGTCGAAACGGCTGCGGCGCAGCCCTCCCTCGAGGAAAAAAAGGCCCTACGATCGAGGATGCACCCCTGTGCGGGGGTAGGGGGGCACCGCGGTGGCGGCGCAGCGCGGGTGCGCGCTGGCGGCCAGTTCTCGAACCCCAAGGCCCCGGGCCGCCGCGGCCTGGGGGCGACGCCCGCCGGCCCCCGCCCTCACCGCCGGCGCGCCGCTAAAACCCCATTTTGGACAAGCAGAACCGCCCTATGGGCGGAGACGCGGGGAAGCGAGAAGGCGCCCCTCCCATCGGGCCCACCGCGGGCGCACAGCGCGCGCCTGGTGTCCGCTGTGCTTCTCCGGAACCGGAGCTGGCAACGAGCCGCGACAACCCCCCACGCTCCTGCGCGGCGATACCCCGGTGGGCGGAGCACTTGCCCTGCACCGCCGGGGCCTTTTGCGCAAAGCGAAGTGCAGGGCCGCGTTTCCAGCGCACGCTGCTGAGGCGCCGCGCTGTTGCTCGGGCCCGGGGGGGCTCCTGGCAAAACCAGCGCCGGCGGGGCTCGCCAGGAAAGCGCTCTCGGGCCGAGGGCCTCCCCCCACGACCACGCGGAAGGGCGCTTCGCGCCGGCGGCCGCGGCGAAAGGTCCCCCCGGCAGAGCTGTGCGCAAAGCGGGGGCGCGCCGCACCAATTTCTAAAGAGGGCGCGGCGTCTTGCTTAGTGGTGGCCTTCGGGGCGCCGTGGGATGGCGCCCCGGAGTGGATGGCGGGGGGTGGCGGAAACAAAAAAAACAAAGACAAACGCTGTAAGTCCTTAAAAAGGGGGTGTCGGAGTTCTCGGTAGTATAGTGGTAAGTATACCCGCCTGTCACGCGGGTGACCCGGGTTCAATTCCCGGCCGGGAAGTTTTTTTGGAAGCACTTCGGTGCGCGCGCCACGTGCGCAAACGTGCCGCTGAACAGCGCTTTGCCGCCCTCCCAAAAGGAAGGCAGGTCGCAACACCTCAACAAAGCCGCGTGGGCCGCCTTGCCGTAGTGCCGGTGTTTGGCGCCTCGCAGAGAGAAAAGCTGAGGGCCGGCAATCAGCCCCTTGACTTCTTGCCCCTTTGTTGCTTTACCGTGGCGGCGGCGGGGTGTTGGGTGGTGGGTTTCCTGCCCAGCGGCTGCGGATGCGGCATGCCTCGGCCCTTTCTGCGACCTCGCGCGGGCAGGCTGAAAAAGGCAACGGGCCCAAGCAAGATTGGGTTACCGGTGGGCTCGCCAGGTTTGGGAGGCAGTACGGCAACGCCTGTTTTCCAGGAAAACGGGACAAGACCACCGCCGGCACCACCGCTGAGCGTAGTCACCGCTGCTTTGTGCGCGGTGGGCGGCTGGTGGCGCAGGGTCTCGCAATTTACGGCAGCAGGCCCCGGCGCACTCCCAAAAAGCGCCCCAAAAAGCACCCCCACGCAAAACGGCGCCCCGGAGATTCCCCAGTGGAATTTAACGCGGAGGGTGTGGGCTTTTTCCATGCTGGATCGACTTGGCGGCGCACATGAGTTCAAAGAAGCCCGTGTGCCTCTTCTTGGCGGTGGGCGGGCCATTCGCCACCATAGCCGGCGGGGCGAGCGGGGTTCGCAGCGCGCGGCAAACACTGCCTCAGCCTGACCCCAGCCCGTCCTCTCTTCCAGTTCCCGCTGGGAGCATCTCGCTCTCCAGCGAGCCGCCGCGATTTCGCAGAAGCGCGCGCCTCCCGCAGTAGAAGGTAGTGCAGGACCAGCAGGGTCTCGCACCACTATCTGGCGTTATCCACGGCGGGCGGTTCCGGCGTCCAAAACGGTGGGACGCTGGGCCGCCGTATGGGGTGGCGTGTGTTTCACCGCGTGTCGGGCCGCTGCCGTGAACGGGCGGGCTC